AGACTAACAGATGTTGTCACAGCTCGTATAAGACTTGGCTACAAGTATCTCTGGCAGTTCGGCTTGTATAGGGATCTAGATGAAGTAAAGTGCAAAGTGTGTGGACATAGGCAGGGACACACACTCGAACACTATATCTTGGATTGTTGTAAAATTGAGCCTTTTAGAGATAAGTCTAAGCTCACTCTGTATGATATGGCAACCTATCTTATTACCATGGATAAATTACCTGAAATCCTTGCACTGTACCCACATTTTGCTTCCAGTAGATGAACGACATATGAGATTCAGAAACAAGTAGTGTATTGTGAGGACTAATAATAAACAGAAGCTCCCCTATGACTCTGTAATATCCCCATTGGCCAAACTATTATGTATTAACGATAAAACCTACCATTAATGTATGATGACTTACTGTAAATATGTAGCTCTTGTAATAGCACTTTCTCTGTAACTAGCTGACATTGTATCTATAAGGTGTGAAGGATTGAAGAAATTGTTTATGTAATAATCTAAGATGAGGTCTGATAAAGACCTTTTGTGCCCTCTGTAATGCTTTTGCGCTACCGCTCACAGGATGAGTATGGGGTGCACAATAAACTAGCCGCCTTCGGCGGCAACAATCAAAAATGTACACCAAGGTATTATGTACACCAAGGTGTAGTTTTTATGTATCCAACCTAATGGGATCCTGATTATCTATTGCTCAACAATGATAGTGTTGTTTGGGCAAAGAGGAACAGTGTTCGTTGTGAAAAACAAAGCCAGGTTGTTGCTTTGGTAAAGGGTGAGACTCCGGAAAGAATTTTTGTGCAAGGACTAGGCTACAGGAAAGTTGCAAAATACATTGAGGAGCCCATATTATACATAAAGTGTTCTCGTTGGGGACATATGGCGTGGAAACATAAGGCGAGCCTAGGGAAAGTAGGTAATGCAGTTGAAAAATGAAACCTTGTGGGGACAAGGGTCAGGACAATATGGTGAAATCGGAGGTTGGTAATCAAATATTGAAATATCTAAAAAAAACTAGACAAGAGGATTGAGCATTAAAAAAATTGCTATGGAGGGTAGACGGGGTGAAGATGGTGGTGAACGAGGAGGTAAAATAGAAAGTGAAACAGGACGTGAAATGGAAAGTGAAACGTGCGTAGAAGAAAGTAAGGAAGAGCATGACGTTTCGATGATAGAGGATAGTCAGGAAAATACACTTTCTAGTAGTGTTAATGGTGTTCAACCTTCTGTTGTGACAAATGATGAAACATAGGGGAAAATAAAACGGTATACAGAAATGGCGAGCGCTATGTCATGGGTTCGTATCCTGGCCGGGGAGGATTTACTGGTCGCAATTCCTTAACTGTAGCCTCTGTTTAAGCCTAGCAGTTCTGTTGTCTATAAAGCTGCAGAGAGTAGCAGTAAATCTCTCAGGAAGTCCTAGTTCAGATATCATATTTTAGGCCTGTGTGCCACACTTTGTCGAAGACTTTCGAAACGTGTCTAAGCACTATATTACACTGATCTTTTTTCGACACTGCGTTGGCAATGTCGGTCCTACCCCTAGGCCGCCGCATGTCCATCCTACCCCCAGGCCGCCGCATGTCCATCCTACCCCCAGGCCGCCCCATGTCCATCCTACCCCCAGGCCGCCCCTTACATTAATTTGAGGAGGTCGAGTAATATACCTTGTCCAGTCAATGTAGGCGGTCCACAACTTAACTCCCTAATTTAACAGCCTAACTTAAAACTACCAGCCCTCCACGACGCTATAGAATCGCCTACTCTATGCAAATCGCATTACACAGGCTTCCCGCGAACTTAGCGCGTGGCTCCCGGCTGAACTCTGACCATGCAACATGACCAAACGGACAGACGCGTACGTGAGGCTGCAATAATTTTTAAGAAATTATTGAAACACCGCTGCCGCCATTGTGAAACAACACAATGTTGTTGATGTTGTTAATAAACAACAATTATTATTTTTGTTGTCGTTATTAGTGTGCACCTCATACTCATCCTGTGAGCGGTAGTTTATTGTGCACCCCATACTCATCCTGTGAGCGGTAGTTTATTGTGCACCCCATACTCATCCTGTGAGTGGTAGTTATTGTGCACCTCATACTCATCCTGTGAGCGGTAGTTTATTGTGCACCCCATACTCATCCTGTGAGCGGTAGTTTATTGTGCACCCCATACTCATCCTGTGAGTGGTAGTTTATTGTGCACCCCTACTCATCCTGTGAGCGGTAGTTTATTGTGCACCCCATACTCATCCTGTGAGTGATAGTTTATTGTGCACCCCATACTCATCCTGTGAGTGGTAGTGTATTGTGCACCCCATACTCATCCTGTGAGTGGTAGCGTATTGTGCTCCCCATACTCATCCTGTGAGTGGTAGTTTATTGTGCACCCCATACTCATCCTGTGAGTGGTAGTTTATTGTGCACCCCATACTCATCCTGTGAGTGGTAGTGTATTGTGCACCCCATACTCATCCTGTGAGTGGTAGTTTATTGTGCACCCCATACTCATCCTGTGAGTGGTAGTTTATTGTGCACCCCATACTCATCCTGTGAGTGGCAGTTTATTGTGCACCCCATACTCATCCTGTGAGCGGTAGTTTATTGTGCACCCCATACTCATCCTGTGAGTGGTAGTTTATTGTGCACCCCATACTCATCCTGTGAGTGGTAGTTTATTGTGCACCCCATACTCATCCTGTGAGTGGTAGTTTATTGTGCACCCCATACTCATCCTGTGAGTGGTAGTTTATTGTGCACCCCATACTCATCCTGTGAGTGGTAGTTTATTGTGCACCCCATACTCATCCTGTGAGTGGTAGTTTATTGTGCACCCCATACTCATCCTGTGAGTGGCAGTTTATTGTGCACCCCATACTCATCCTGTGAGCGGTAGTTTATTGTGCACCCCATACTCATCCTGTGAGTGGTAGTTTATTGTGCACCCCATACTCATCCTGTGAGTGGTAGTGTATTGTGCACCCCATACTCATCCTGTGAGTGGTAGTTTATTGTGCACCCCATACTCATCCTGTGAGTGGCAGTTTATTGTGCACCCCATACTCATCCTGTGAGCGGTAGTTTATTGTGCACCCCATACTCATCCTGTGAGTGGTAGTGTATTGTGCACCCCATACTCATCCTGTGAGCGGTAGTTTATTGTGCACCCCATACTCATTCTGTGAGTGGTAGTTTATTGTGTACCCCATACTCATCCTGTGAGTGGTAGTTTATTGTGTACCCCATACTCATCCTGTGAGTGGTAGTTTATTGTGCACCCCATACTCATTCTGTGAGTGGTAGTTTATTGTGTACCCCATACTCATCCTGTGAGTGGTAGTTTATTATGCACCCGATACTCATCATATAAGATAAGATAAGATAAAATAAGATAAGATACGATAAGATATTTATTCAGGTAAAGGTACATACATTGAAAATGAGTTATAAACATAATGTCGGATTACTAGAATGAGCTGGTTCATACAATGCCTGAAGCCACTAACAAGGAGAGAGAGAGAGAGAGAGAGAGAGAGAGAGAGAGAGAGAGAGAGAGAGAGAGAGAGAGAGAGAGAGAGAGAGAGAGAGAGAGAGAGAGAGATAAAGAGACAGAAAGAAAGAGAGAGAGAGAGAGAGAGAGAGAGAGAGAGAGAGAGAGAGAGAGAGAGAGAGAGAGAGAGAGAGAGAGAGAGAGAGAGAGTGGAGAGAGAGAGAGAGAGAGAGAGAGAGAGAGAGAGAGAGAGAGAGAGAGAGAGAGAGAGAGAGAGAGAGAGAGAGAGAGAGAGAGAGAGAGAGAGAGAGAGAGAGAGAGAGAGAGAGGAGAGAGAGAGAGAGAGAGAGAGAGAGAGAGAGAGAGAGAGAGAGAGAGAGAGAGAGAGAGAGAGAGAGAGAGAGAGAGAGAGAGAGAGAGAGAGAGAGAGAGAGAGAGAGAGAGAGAGAGAGAGAGAGAGAGAGAGAGAGAGAGAGAGAGAGAGAGAGAGAGAGAGAGAGAGAGAGAGAGAGAGAGAGAGAGAGAGAGAGAGAGAGAGAGAGAGAGAGAGAGAGGAGAGAGAGAGAGAGAGAGAGAGAGAGAGAGAGAGAGAGAGAGAGAGAGAGAGAGAGAGAGAGAGAGAGAGAGAGAGAGAGAGAGAGAGAGAGAGAGAGAGAGAGAGAGAGAGAGAGAGAGAGAGAGAGAGAGAGAGAGAGAGAGAGAGAGAGAGAGAGAGAGAGAGAGAGAGAGAGAGAGAGAGAGAGAGAGAGAGAGAGAGAGAGACAGACAGACACGGGGGGGAGGGGGTTCTGGGGGAGGTGTAGTACCGGAAGGGTTAGGAGAGCATGGCTGCAACTCGATTCAACAGCTGATGCAAGGAAGCCCTTTAACAGGCGCGCACATTTTAAATGACAAGGTAACGGAATGACGATACTAAAACGCTTTTTGTACGGTGTGAAATATCACAAAATACCTTACAAATGCTGTTTAATTAAATAAATATAATGCATGAGTAACCCAAAACTCTTCCAATATAAAGTTTTATATTTTTCAATGCTGTTTTTAATTGATTAGTTTATTATCTGGTTATCAATTAGAAATTCAAAGTTGACCATATTTTTTGTTGTTGAGATTACTTTGGTTATTGCTAATTTAATCATATGATGAAGGATATATGCCATTGACGAAATGAGTGAATAATAAACTAAATAAATTAGGCTCGCGCTGCTCCTCCGGCGCTCCAACACTTCTTGACAATTCATACAAAAATAGATGAATTATTTACTGGGCACAAGACATAATATCTAATAGCACTACAATAATGGGATATAAAATATCGCAATATATGTAAACTAATAATTTTTAAATAGATATCGAGTCTAAATTATCTTAATTAAAGATAATAAAATATCAAATTGGTAACTAGTCATATTCCCGGGCGAGTCACGTGACCAAGTTATTTAAAGTGTGAGCCAATGGGAGCGAGTCTCCGCCGCGCCGTCGACCAATCAGCGCTCCGAATGATCCTCCCGCCGTTCAAAACTTGTAAACCCGAGTAGTGTGTAGATGCTCGGGCGAGTTATTGTTGATATTGGTGATATTTTGGACTAATCTGGGAAAATGACGAGCCACCAGAAGGAAGAAGTGAAGAAGGAGATCCCGGAGTTCATCACGGACGCGTCGACGGGCACAAAGTACCAGCGGGGCAAGTTCCTGGGCAAGGTAGGCGAGCCACCCACCCCTCTACCTCCACTAGTTTGTTTACTTGTAAACTTTCTCCCATAGTCAGGCTGCGAGCCTCGGTAATGGCCACATGCTAGATGGCTTATGCTATCCTGCCTAATTAAGCAAGGGGGCAGCCGTTAATGAATGAAGAGAATCATACTTTGAGTAATTGAAGTATTGGTGGGCGGGCGAGTTTACACCAGCCACCTGTGATCTCTTGAGGTTTACCTCGCTATACTATCCTTATCTCTACTCTTACAAGTTAACATAGGAATATAAATAAGACCAGGGGGGGGGGTTATAGTTAAGAGTGGCGTTTGTGATGAGTATAGTGGGGGAGACGCCCTGGATAATACCCAGTTTACACCCACTGGTAGACTCCTTCCTGGGGAGGTGTTGCTGGGGCCACCATCCCCCCCCCCTGTTGTGATGGGTGGTGCATGTAGGCATCCCACATGTGTACATGATACATATGTGCACGGCTTGTCCTCGCTCTTGGTGGTGACGTCACGGGTCACTAGTTTACCACCTGTGGTCTCTAATGTGCGTCGCTGGTCTCTTGTGTCCATCTATGGTCTCTTGTGTCCGTCTATGGTCTCTTGTGTCCGTCTATGGTCTCTTGTGTCCGTCTATGGTCTCTTGTGTCCGTCTATGGTCTCTTGTGTCCGTCTATGGTCTCTTGTGTCCGTCTATGGTCTCTTGTGTCCGTCTATGGTCTCTTGTGTTCGTCTATGGTCTCTTGTGTCCGTCGCTGGTCTCTTGTGTCCGTCGCTGGTCTCTTGTGTCCGTCTATGGTCTCTTGTGTCCGTCTATGGTCTCTTGTGTCCGTCTATGGTCTCTTGTGTCCGTCTATGGTCTCTTGTGTCCGTCTATGGTCTCTTGTGTCCGTCTATGGTCTCTTGTGTCCGTCTATGGTCTCTTGTGTCCGTCTATGGTCTCTTGTGTCCGTCTATGGTCTCTTGTGTCCGTCTATGGTCTCTTGTGTCCGTCGCTGGTCTCTTGTGTCCGTCTATGGTCTCTTGTGTGCATCTATGGTCTCTTGTGTCCGTCTATGGTCTCTTGTGTGCATCTATGGTCTCCTATGTGCGTCTGTGGTGTCCTATGTGCGTGTGTGGTCTCCTATGTGCGTGTGTGGTGTCCTATGTGCGTGTGTGGTCTCCTATGTGCGTCTATGGTCTCCTATGTGCGTCTGTGGTTTCTGGGGGAGGGGCCTCCAGTTGGTGGTTGTTGATCAAGATTATGAAGACATGATTTCTTGCCACGAGTCTGGTCTGCGTCTTCATTTTGCCATCAAAGGTGTTTGTTTCCCTGCTTGTCCACAGTTGTATTTGGTGTATGATTGACAAGCTTGAGAACATTGTCTACCCGCCTGCTGCGTGTGTGTGTGTGTGCCGAGTACAAGAGCTGCCGCCCTCGTCACACTGACCCACGGGAGACATCTTCTGTCACGCAGGGTGCAGTCGCGCCTCCACAGATCTCCAGTATCATCTCTTGATACTGGTAATGGCTCAAAAGGGCCACCACTTACGGGCTATTCATGCCCGTGCCACCTCTTGGGTGGCTTAATCTTTATCAATCAATCAATCAATCAATCACATTAACCATGTGTGTCTGGTACAGTGGACCCCACTCACTACTGTGTATCTACTCACACCACTGTAATACACGCCCATCACTAAACCTTGGTTAGAACTATGTAACTCGATTCAGTAAAAGCTGAAACTGTAAACTTGTTGGTTAACAAGCTAAGATTACACAGTTGTAATGCAGGAGTCTGCATGGTCATGAAGGATATTAGTGTGACAACTGACCCGGCACCACTACGCCTTCCGTACTTAAAATGCTAACTTACTAAGCTTCAAAGTCAGCTCTTCAAGTACTGTACTTAAAAACCCCATGGACAAGCTATACTTAGAATGTTGAGCACATTTATAAATAGTAATGTACTCCCCTAGTTGTGCTTACAGGGGTTGAGCTCTGGCTTTTTGGTCCCACCTCTCAACTGTCAATCAACTTATGTACAGGTTCCTGAGCCTACTGGGCTCTTATCATATCTGCATTTGAAACTGTGTATGGAGTCAGCCTCCACTACGCTCCCTAATGCTTTCCATTTGTTAACTACTGACGCTGAAAAAGTTCTTTCTAATGTCCCTGTGGGTCATTTGGGTACTCAGTTTCCACTTGTGTCTCCTTGTTCGTGTATCACCTGTGTTAAACAGTTTAAAACATCCTGCTGATTCCTCTTAGAATTTTGTAGGTAGTGATCATGTCTCCATGAGCTCTCCTGTCTTCCAGTGATGTGAGGTGCATTTCGTGCAGCCTTTCCTTGTAACTTATGCCTCTTAGTTCTGGGACTAGGGCTTGACCATGTGATTGGTGCAGAGGAAAGGCTTGAAAAGGTGGATGCCTTGTGTACCATACCTTGCGTATCTCGTCACAACGTAGACGAGGCGGCTCTATATAAATATTACAAATAAAAAATAGAGGTGAAAACACTTCTGAGCAAACATGTCTGATCATCCAACACACAATTCTGGTTATAGTAATATCCAGAATTAGGCTGAAATATTTCTCAACTTAGAACACTAAATGTAAACTTAAAAGGAGAGCTAGACCTTCTCTTCAACATAATATTAGTGAATACAGTACCTAATTATCAATGATTTTTCAGTAGACCAGATGTCATGAGATAGCTGTTGGAAATATATAACAAACCATCCTGCTAATTAAGGGTATTTAGTGAACACAGCTTTTTTAAAACTGAAACTTATCATTTGCTTGTGTGCTCTGGTTTGTTTAATATCAATGCACAGTAGTATTGCTCTAACTTCTCATCCTTATTAATTTTCCATAACTTATTCACTGAAACTTTAATGTTTTTAACTTGATTCTTATTCCTATATAAAATATGGTTATATTCATGTCTATGATCTTAATAATTGTTAAAATGCTTATGTTCTTGTCTATTTCAGGGAGGCTTTGCAAAATGTTACGAACTAACAGATTTAAAAACCAAAGAAATATTTGCTGGAAAGATAGTTGCCAAATCCTTACTTGTAAAGCCACATCAAAAAGAAAAGATGTCTCAGGAGATATCAATTCATCGCAGTTTAAGAGATAAGCACGTTGTTAGCTTCCAGGGGTTCTTCGAAGATTCCGACAATGTGTACATAATCCTAGAATTGTGCAGGAGAAGGGTAAGTTTATTTTTAATGTTAAATGTATGCTTTCTTCTTAAATTTAGCTTTAGAAGTTTCATAACTGCAATACACTAATTTCCACATGTCCCATTATGGAATGTGCAGCAAATAAATGGCATGAGATTCAATTCCTCTATTAAATGTTGTCATAAAATTTGTATTTAGCATAATTTTGGAATGGACAATATTGTGGCATTCAATGGTGGTTTTTATCAGTTTTTTGGGAATGTTTTTTTTTTTTTTATACTGTGTTGTCATACTGTAATTAGAGGACAAAAAGTACTGCATTGGAATAAAGCTGGAAGGAAATGTTTTAAGGGGCCTGAATCACATTCAGGCTGAATCAAAATTCAGAACCATCCTATTTGTAAGAAACTTAATTTACAAAATATAATCTACAAGATGACTCTCCAGCGGAAGTTTCTGCCTTGTAACCCCTGAAAGATAATAAAAAAAATTATAATAAAAAATGGCAATGTTTAAAAAATGTCCAAGAATATAGAATCTAACCATTTTTTTTTAATAATTTACTACATAGAATAAAACCTAAAGTAAAACTGAATGATATGTTAAAAGTTCAGTTGCTGAAAAGTAATTGCTAAAGGAGACTTATTTTGCTTGAAAACTGCACCTTTGAAAATCTGTAAATCAAAAGTAAATTGGCCCTTTTCAAATTGTAGAGCCATATATGAAGAACATATGTAAAACTCATAAAAATTGGTTCATAAACAAGAAAACTCAGAATTTTGGAATGTACAATCATACTTTTGATTAAAATGGCATCAATGATTCTGGCACTAGATATTGCTATTTTTTCTTTCAACTTCACATGATTATTGGTTGGGCCTATGCACTCAAATGTAAGGAAGTTCCAGGGGAAATTGCTTGTCAGTGGAGAAAAAATACTGAATTTAAAACCATGAAATATACATGCATTGCTATTTGCATAAATTTTAATGCAAATGTATTATTGACTTGGTACAAAGCTTCTTTGATATACTTTATCCTGTAATGAAAAATTGCAGTGATAGTAAACACTCATTATAATGTCCAGAGAGTATCTTGTGCAGGTGATGTTTCCTGATAGCACATCTTTAATGGTATGTGACCTTTCTGCTACGCTTTGGTAGTGTCAAATCGGCAGCATCTTCAGTTTGGCACTCGGGAGGCAGTGTTACACACTTGTGCATATCTACACTTTCCTGTATGTGATGCATTTAGTAATATTTAGAGCATTTCAAAGAGAAAAGCATCTTGAAAGTGGGAGGTGTAAAACAGGCGGTTAAAAGTACAGTATATTGCCGCTACAAGACCAGGTGAGGATCCCATAGTATATAACCAATCTGTCTAATGATCAAGTTGCTGATTTCTTCCTCCAGTTGAGAGCCCTCAATATTTTGATAGTTGACAGGGAGCATTACACACACATGTACAGTATTGGGTGCAGTGGCAAAGTAGTTATATAGATCGGTACCTGCAGTGTTCTGGGTACCTCTACTCCATGTGGGGTGGTTGAGATCGCTTGTAAAATTGATCGGGCCTCGTAATTGGTCAAGATAGAAATCCCATACTCAGTGACTGGCTCCTCAGGCTTGTAAAAATTTTACATTTAAATTTAATTTAAATCCTTGATCCTTAAAAACTAATAATAATTTATTAGTGCATCTTTAAAATGTATACATGGTGTATATTTTTAGTATGCTATACTGTACTATTAAATGTGCAGACATTATATGGTAATTTACTAATTATGTTCAACTCTTATTAATTTTTAGTCACTGATGGAACTGCACAAACGTCGTAAAGCAATCACGGAGCCTGAAACACGTTACTTCCTGAAGCAAATCCTTAACGGTGTCAAGCACTTGCATGACAGAAAAGTTATTCATAGAGATCTTAAGCTTGGCAACCTCTTCCTTAATGATGAAATGGAACTAAAAATTGGAGATTTTGGCTTGGCTACCAGAGTAGATTATGAAGGAGAGAGGAAAAGGTGAGTTTATATACTGTATTGCTTTCTTAAATATTTAGCATTTTATAACTAAATTTACATATACTGTACAATATTAGTATTAGGGTTATCCATACACATTTAACATCATTGTCTTGCTCTCCATCCTTCTTAAACAAATCTAGCATTTGCCTGGTTTTCTGGTAAAGATTCTCAACAAACAGATTTAATTTCAGTCAGTTTAGGTTGCATTATTGTACTGATTTGAAACATGAAATATTTTAAGTATGAACCTAAAAGTATTTATGCTGTTAAAAATGAGAGATGCAGCCTTAGTTTATTTTATATCTTTTATAATTTGCATGTACTACAGTACCTTGAGTCATAATGGTTACTTGAAATGTACAATTCTTTACACCACTGAACTAAGCAGAGGTATCTATTGCTATGCAGTGTAGCTCAATGTCAACTGTTTTATGTTAGTATTCCCCCACTTCCATTTTCCTGACCCCAGGGAGGTAAGGAAGTTAGGAAGATACACTAATATTTAAACCCTATACAAAAGAGCCTATAAAGGTTTGTCACCAATGGGAAAAAAAACCTTCCCAGACCATTAACATCCTCTGTATCTGCTCCAAGTCCACTTAAATTGTGTTGGTTCTGACAAATAATGTATCTGCGGGCTGTTCTCTGACCAGGCCTCTTGGTCACTGGTCTGGCCAACCAGGCTAATAGGTGCAACTGCTCACAGCCTGGTTGATCAGGTATCCTTTGGAGGGGTTTACCAAGTTCTCTTGTGAACACCATGAGAGGTCAGCTATTAATGCCCCTTATGTTAAGAGGAAGTACCCTATTTGCCAGCATATAAGACGCTTGTCTTTTTATTTTTAAATGTATAAAAAAATTGCCCTGCATCTAAAGTGACTATTACGGATGTGAGCCCGAGCTCCTGGTTGAATGCCAGCATTGGCACAGTTCCTCTCTTGCCCCATGTTGTGACGGGGAACTGAAAGACTGCTACGAGGATATTAAGTATATCCTTGAGGCCAAAGGTCATTCTCTCCTCCAGATCAATACCTTCACTGGACCCTCCTCGTGGTCATCGTAGTCGGCTTCTTCGAGTTGTGAAGGTCAAGTTTTAAGTAGGTCCCTTCCATCTTTCGTCATTCTTGTTGGTACCAGGTGCTCTGTTCAGGAGTAAATCCCCTCTCCTCACCTCTGCAGCAGGTGCGGGAGATTTGGGCATGGTCTCTTCCGGTGCACAAGTCGGGTGCTATATGCCCCTTGTATGGAACCTCAGGTCATTCTAATTCAGAGTGCCCTTCTTTTCAAGCGCTCTGCATCAATTGCCGTGACCCCCACTGTGCCTTCTACCGCGCATGTGTGCACTACAAATTTTTGGAAACCATTCTCAATTTGAAACATCGTGATCATTTGTCTTTTCCCAAGACAAGATGCCAGGTTTGCCATCTTCCTTCTTTCTCTGGCATGTCTTATGCTTATGTGTTGCGTTCCCCTTCTTCTCGTCCTCTCCCGCTTTCTCAGTTTCGCAACCGTTTGAGGACCTTGGACCCCTCCACCTCCCTCCACCACCTCGTCTGCTCCTTTGTGTTCCAGACCAGAGGGTCTTCCTCCTGGTTCTCCTTCTGGTGTTTCCTTCCTTCCCGGTCTTCCTTGTCTCCCGTGCCCTCCTTTCCTTCTCGCCCCACTCCATCTTCTCAGCCTTCCCTGCTGTCTTTTGGCCCTCCTCACTGCCTGTCTGTCTGGGCCATTGTCCATCCTCCTTCCAGCATTCTTCGCGTTGACCGTTCCCGTTCTCCTTCTGTTGAAACTGTTGAGGCGGTTGCCCAGCACATTGCTGATGGCACTCTCTCTCTCTCTCTCTCTCTCTCTCTCTCTCTCTCTCTCTACATCAAAAACGTAAGCCTGGCTGCTCCTTCCTTCCAGGCAGGTAAGAAGGCTTCGATATATTCCTCGCCTTCCGACTTTCGACACTAACCCTACTTTCCCTCCCATTACAGTGGCTTTCTCCTGTCCCTGCTTTGTAGATTCCTTTGGTCCTTGATCCTCTCTTGGATGCTGCCTTTGATCCAGTGCCCCTCACCTGTTTCTGTCCTTCCTGCCCCCGATTTCCTTCACCGCCCCCTCTGATGCCTCCTCCCGCTCTGGACTCTGCCTCTGGTCCGTCCTCCCGCTCCCTTGCCTCTATTATATTTGCTAGCTTTGGCCATCGTCACCCTGATTTCACTGATCCTGGTTCTGATCTTCCTTAGTCTACTGTGTTAATCTTTGCCTTTGTTTCTATTATCTCCTTTTTTTTTGTCTGTTCTTCAATGGAATATTTGTGGGTTTTATGCCAACTTCCATGAACTCCAACTTCTGATCAAGCAGTTTTCAGCTTTGTGTTTCTCCAGGAGCCGATGTTTGGCTCTCGTCCTGGTCACTTCCGTGGTTAATCCTTTCTCTTTTTCCCTCCAGCTTTTTCTGGGGCCCATAACTCTACTGCTCTCTTGATCCGCCATGATACTCCCTTCGTCTTCCTTCTTTTTCAATCGCTTATTCAATGTTCTGCGGCCCGTATCTTTGAGAGTAAATGATATACAGTCTGTTTCATTTATATCCCCCCCCCCCAAATGCCCCGCTTTCTCTTCCCGACCTTAAACACCTTTTGAACTCCTTACCGGAGCCTCTGCTCCTTTTGGGTGATTTTAACTGTCAGCATACCTTCTGGGGAGATGTTCTGATGAGCACCCAGGGCTGCCTTCAACCATTTTTCCTCTCTTCTCTCCTATGAATTCTGGTGAGCCCACTCATGTTGACTTCTGCACTCGCATCGTTTCCTGTCTTGATCTTTTTCTCTGCTCGTCTTCTCTTTATTTGGACTTCACTTGGCAGGTTCTTGATGACCTCCATAAGTGACCATTTTTCCATCCTTGTCTCCTTCTCTTTTAACCCTCCCCTCACCTTCCGTAGGTGGCAGTTTGCCAAGGCTGGCTGGAACCTCTTCACCTTACGCGCTACTCTTTCCGACCTCTCTGATCTGCCTCTTCCTCGAGCTGCCCTCCTCTTTCATTACACTCTTTTTATGCTGCCATCTGCTCTGTTCCTCGCTCTACCTCCTGGGGCTTGCAGAAGTGCATTCCCTGGTGGAATGCAGACTGCTCGGGCTGTCCGCTGTAAAGTGTACTGCCTGGAAGAAATACCATCGCTGACGGACACCCGATTCTTTTGTTTTGTTTCGGGAGGCGAGTGCTGTGGCCCGTAGGGCCATCTGTATGGCTAAGTGTGAGGGTTGGAGATCTTTTGTTTCCACCATTACGTCTGACACTCCCCTGCCCCTGATTTGGGAGAAAATCTGCAAGGTAGCGGGTAAGTTTGTTCCAGATGTCTTGCCAGTCCTTCACCTCCGTGGTTCTATTGTGGCGGATCTGGTGTAGGTCGCGACTGAACTGGGTTCACACTTTTCTACTGTTGGCTGCAGTTCTCATCTTCCTCCTTTTCTTACTCGAAAGCCCCTTGAATCTTGTCCCTTAAATTTTCACACTCGTCTTCAGCTTCCCGATAACAATCCTTTCAGAAATCCAGCCTGCCCTGGCCATCTGCGGTTCTGTGGCAGCAGGCTCAGTTGATAATCATTATGAGATGCTTTGCCATCTCCCTCCATGCACATTTCAGTATTTACTGAGTGTTTATAACCATGTCTGGAAGTCGTCGTAAATCCCTGAGGACTTACGACGAGGCAGACTGGCTTGAGGCGGTTGTTCTTCCTATTTAGAAACCTGGTTCTCTAGGGTCAATACCCTAAAGACTTCCACCCCATTGCCCCTCATGAGTTTGCATCTGCAAACGCTTTGAGCGTATTGTCAATGTCTGTCTGATGTGGCCCAAAGTATATTGGATAGCATTCCAACTTGGAATGCTATTACCACTTCTCCCCTTCTAAATTTGCCTTTCCCAAGTGTCGCAGCACGACTAATGCACTTGTGAACTTGGAGGTCTATATTTGAACCGCTTTTGCTGCGAAGACATCCATGGCCTAGCAGTAGATGTGAGTGAACAAATCCACAAGGGCCGTGACGAAGATTCGGATCTACGTCCGGGAGCATCCCAGACACTGCCTTAATCAACTGAGCTACGACATGGTCAAAAGAGTTGAAACTGAAGTTCTACTGAACTTACTGGATCCTGCAGCCTCTACGAGGCACAAACCAGAGTTTTACACAACTCCCCGCCCATGCTCTCGAGCTATGTCAATAGGCCGTTTTCTCTTTTCGCCCCTACAAAGAGGGAGAACGGCCTATTGACATAGCTCGAGTGCATGGGAGAGTTGTGTAAAACCCTGGTTTGTGCCTCGGAGAGGCTGCAGGATCCAGTAAGTTCAGTAGAATTTCGGTTTCAACTCTTTTTGACCATGTCGGAGCTCAGTCGATTAAGGCAGCGTCTGGGATGCTCCCGGACGCAGGTTCGAATCCTCGTCACGGCCCTTGTGGATTTGTTCATTTGATGCATCACGCTATTGTGATTTCTGTGTGTAGAGTAGAAGTGAGTCCTTGGACCCTAATGGCTCTGGCTCGGGAAGCATCCAGGGGACTTTTACTCTGACATAGTAGATTCATAATTTTCTTGGCAATCATCAACATTATATGAATTTAAATTTAATTAATTTTCAGTTATGAAACTTTGGTTATAAAAGGTTATTAAAATGTTTGTGTTTGGTTGGTGTTTGTTGTATGGAGGACTGGATTTATTAAGGTTCACTGCACTAAATTATTTTACCAAAAATAAATTTGAGTTCTCAGTACATTCCCAATATCAAAATGTTTATAGCATTAATGATCAATCCTCAAGGTGTGGCTGTCATCAAATTTTGCCACTCTGACACCAAAAAGAAATAATTTAATTTTACTTACGAAATGTAGATCTGTATTCAAAATTCCTAGGAAACCCCTCTCCTCCCCCCCCCCCCCCATCCGTCTGTGTATTCCCTTATTTTGGCAGAGTTATTGGTCAACATTTCTTTTGATATTTTGTCTTCATTATGTTGTGATGGGAGCCAGGATCCAACCCAATTTGTTTCACATGAAATATATACAGTATAGAAGAAAAATCTTAAAAAAAATAGAGTAATAAAAAGAGAAAAAAAAAAAAAAAATATATATATATATATATATATATATATATATATATATATATATATATATATATATATATATATATATATATATATATATATATATATATATATATATATATATATATATATATATATATATATATATATATATATATATATATATATATATATATATATATATATATATATATATATATATATATATATATATATATATATATATATATATATATATATATATATATATATATATATATATATATATATATATATATATATATATATATATATATATATATATATATATATATATATATATATATATATGTATGTCGTACCTAGTAGCCAGAACTCACTTCTGAGCCTACTATGCAAGGCCCAATTTGCCTAGTAAGCCAAGTTTTCATGAATTAATTGCTTTTCGACTACCTAACCTACCTAACCTAACCTAACTTTTTCGGCTACCTAACCTAACCTAACCTATAAAGATAGGTTAGGTTAGGTTAGGTAGGGTTGGTTAGGTTCGGTCACATATCTACGTTAATTTTAACTCCAATAAAAAAAATTGACCTCATTCATAATGAAATGGGTAGCTTTATCATTTCATAAGAAAAAATTTAGAGAAAATATTTTAATTCATGAAAACTTGGCTTATTAGGCAAATCGGGCCTTGCATTGTAGGCTGAAAAGTGAGTTCTGGCTACTAGGTACGACATATATATATATATATATATGTCGTACCTAGTAGCCAGAATGCACTTCTCAGCCTACTATGCAAGGCACAATTTGCCTAATAAGCCAAGTTTTCATGAATTAATGGTTTTTCGACTACCTAACCTACCTAACCTAACTTTTTCGGCTACCTAACCTAACCTAACCTATAAAGATAGGTTAGGTTAGGTTAGGTAGGGTTGGTTAGGTTCGGTCATATATCTTCGTTAATTTTATCTCCAATAAAAAAATTGACCTCATACATAGAGAAAAGGGTTGCTTTATCATTTCATAAGAAAAAAACTATAGTAAATATATTAATTCATTAAAACTTGGCTTATTAGGCAAATCGGGCCTTGAATAGTAGGCTGAGAAGAGAGTTCTGGCTACTAGGTACGACATATATATATATATATATAAATAAAAAATTAAATATGACCGAAAAAGTAAGATTAATAATTCTAACACAAATTTTCTCAATCTTTCGTACATTTCTTTTCACTGTTGGAGGTAATTCAAAAATCAATTCTCCAAAATTCATTTTTATTTCTAGTCTGACGTGACACTTGAGCGCGTTTCGTAAAACTTATTACATTTTCAAAGACTTTAGTTAACACATACACAACTGAATAGAACTTACTGAATAGAATAGAACATCTCTGATTTTGTTTATATCTACATTTGAGTGAGGTGGATGGGGTGAGGTGGTATTTAATAAGGTATTAATTTCATCAACACAAGCCAGAACATGAAACAATGGGTATTGAATAGAAGTGATTGTAGAAAGCCTATTGGTCCATATTTCTTGATGCTTCTATATTGGAGCGGAGTCTTGAGGTGGGTAGAATTCTACCCACCTCTATATTTGTTGGCTGAAGTATATGTTATAATTGTGATAATGGGAGATAAGTAGCTGAACTATGAATCGACTCCAAATTGGTTTGTGGCTCATTCAGCTGTTGAACAATATGGTCAACATAGGTACGGTATTCAAACATTGATATTAAACATAAATAGTCACATGAGGGATGCGATTCACTAGATTATCGGCAATGACTGCACATAGTGGGTTAATAGGTAATCAATTCCTTTGTTCCAGCTTGTAATTAATTTAGTGCTTGTATGTTTATGTATGCACGTTATGTTTACAGAACTTTGTGTGGCACACCAAACTACATTGCTCCAGAAATCCTCTGCAAGAAAGGTCACAGTTATGAAGTTGATGTCTGGTCTATAGGCTGTATTCTGTAAGTAATTTATGACAATTACACTTTTTGTAGTATATTTAAGTTTTTTGGGGGTGGGCACCAATACGTAGGCTGTGTTAAATATAGTCTTAAAAAGGGATTTACTATCAAAATTTTCTTGGTCATAAATATATAAAGTTTAGCCACAGCATATTGTTGTGCTATCTGAAGTAGTATAAAATATGGTTAGTCTTACCTAACTTACATTTGCTGTACTAGGTTTTGAAAGTTCAGATAATAAGTTTTGCTTAAAAGTGAAATCTTATCAACTGGTTTTATAGGTAATTTTTTGTTATTGCTATTGTTAAGTGTTGAGGCATTCCTGATGGAAGCACACTGTAGAGTACATGAATTCTTGCTCCGATTTGCCAACTATTAGAAATTACATTTTCAAGCTACTCATTTGATTAGCTTTAGTATGCTAGTGTCCTTTGAGGAAATACAAGCAAGGAGAATAATATATAATTTTAGTTCTGGCATTATTTGTTAGACAATTATTTTTAAATTATATTATTAATAGGTAAATTTCTGTCCCCAGGTATACATTATTAGTGGGAAAACCTCCATTTGAAACACAAACTTTAAAAGACACATATATGAGGATTAAGAAGAACGAGTACCATATACCATCACGGATTGGACCTCTTGCCCGCTCACTTATTCAGAGATTGCTTCAGGGTGATCCAACACGCAGACCCAATGTTGATGTGATTCTTGCTGATGATTTTATGACAATGGGTAAGTTTGATATGCTGTCTACGTATGTCATATTCAGTTTTATTAAAATTTATAAATTATTGTGTTGCTAATTACATTGAGAAAACCAAAAGGCATGATTTTCTTTCAGGGTACATATTTATTTAGCAGTTACACAAATGAAACTTATAATGCATGCTGTTAAAAATAAAAAATAAAAGAAATTTTAAGTTTTCTTGGAGATTTTACAAGCAGTGAAGAGAGCTAGAGGAATGTAACAAGATAAATTACAGTACAGTATTGTGAAATAAAGTGCATAGCAGTAGTGTAGAAGTCTTTAATACATGCTTCATTGGTTGTCTGTTCAATTTTGTACCTTTCTGAGAAAAGCATTCTCAGTTGCTCCTTGAATCTGGGCCCGCTAACATCAAATTCCTGTCAGACTGTCGACCTGTCCTGTGGTGACAAATAACATTTAAAATGGTCATGCCATCTCAGTTGCAGAGGGGAATGAGACAAATTTCAGTCTGCCAAAGAGACCACCGGCTATGGTGCCGAAGATCGGAAATAAAAACATTAACATCCACTTTAAGAAACAATTGGAAACAAAGGAATGCATTTGTATCTCTGCAGCCTAAAAATTTGTTAACTAGGCAACTCCATCCACCACTAGATGGTAGCACCAGCACAACTACAGATGCAGAGTAGCTGGCTACCCTCACCTAAAACTCATATTACTCCCACAATGGAAAGTCAACTAGAATTAAGGGGCCCGGTGACTGTGTACTGAAACTTCCTCAAACACACTCGGTTTGTTTGTTTGAATAATATCTTTATGGTAAATGCTCCAACTTTAAAAAAAAAAAAAAAAAAATACGAAAAAAAAATTATCAATTTCAAATTGTTTTAAAATATTTAAATGTCACCAATTATTTTATTCATTATAGTCTCAGAATGGCATGTGATGTTCATGTTCTAGAGGAAAAAATATTCTTTGAGAGTATAGTTTACTGAAAAACATTTTTTTCAATGTGGCCATCCAAATATGTGCAAAATTTAAACGCAAAAAATGTATAACTCCATATGTTACGGCTTTGACTTAACGACCCTTAGGACACCTTAGAACTAAGAACTTTGCATATACAGTATATGTAAAATTAGTGAGAATCGGTCAGAAGCTGACTTTTTGAAGCTGTCTCAAAGAAGTTGAAATTACTTTTTTTAGTGATAATTGTAATTGAAGTTATTGACAATGAATAGAGGTACAGTAGTTCTAATTAATGAATTTTCTTGTATGTTTTAATCAACATTGCTTGACATTCGTACTCGAGTATGTTAAAGTTGTAGGTCAATATGTGTTAAAATGAAGTCAAGAAAAAATACCCCCCCCCCCCCTCAAAAAATATATAGGGATATATTAGGGATAACAAACATATATTACAGTAACTTTATTGCCCATATATAAGTGATAATGCCCTCATCTGGTCCTCATTCATCAATATAACCTAAAGAGACAAAGGGAATAGAGCTTGAAATCTGTAAATAAATCGGCAAAATAAATAATAAGTCACAACTTGTGCCACCTGGGGCTGATTAACATGTTGACCAATTTCGTGCCAACATCACATGCTTGGTGCCGGATATACATTCTCCAAGATGTAGAAGTCACGACAAAATCCACATACAAACAAAGGAGAGAGAAAAAAAAATGTCAGTTTTTTGTATAGAGGGACATAAGAAATATTGCTATTGGGCAACGTATTTATATGATATATAATAAAATACAGCGTAATAACATAGTGACTCATTATCATGTGTGAAATCTGGTCCTTCAGGTGGCACCAGCTGCATATCCACTTTGTAGACCCTTCTTACTACTACAGTACTTTTCTTCTTGTTGCATCGGACAGGTGCTTGCATCTCTTAATCCTTGATTGCCAGTAAATAGGTGTTAAAATTATTAGTACCGGTAGCCCCCCACCCCTGTCTCGCACACCTTTTGTGAGTTTGAGGGCCGTCTGTCATCTGTGCCACAGGGCGACAATCATTCTTTCTGCCTGTCATGCTGCCTGTTGGGTTAGTGACACTTGCAACACTAAACCCTGCGGGGTTTGTTCCTCCCCATGTGGCTCTTCATGTCACTGGCAATTGCTGGGTCATTCCCCCCCCCTCCCCCCCTCCCCCTGGGGTGTCTCCAGTTGCTGCATCACCAGCTTCCTCTTCAGGTTTTCAGGGTTCGGTGGAATGGCACTTTCATCCTCCCTCGCTTGATGTTTTCATATACGCCTCGGCTGTGGGTTGAGGCTTTGTGACCAGTGTTCACCAGTCTGGCCAAGGTTGTTTGTTGCCATCATTTTGTTGAGCTCATAGCACAGTGTGGGAGTTTGCGTCTTTGTGGCAGGTGCTGCGGAGGGTTCAGATTCCACGGGGCTTGGTGATTCTGCTCCATTCGGATTGTTCCCATGTGGTTCATCATCTTAACCGCAGGGGATCTCTTCGGTCCATGCTGCTTTGGATCTGATCACTTCGAGTTGCTCTTCTGCCGAGTTCTTGCGGTTTGGCTTTCCGCGTTGTTCACATTTAGGGTGTGTCCAACATCCTGGCTGATGGTCTGTCTCGCTTCATTTCCCTTTCTACAGAGTGGACCATCAATGTCGATTCCTTCCTTTGGCTTTGCAAGACGTAGGAATGCCAGGATGTGGATCTCTTTGCGTTGCCATCTTCCTCTTTAAGTGATGCTGTTCCTTGACTGGGAGTATCTTGCAGTGGACGCCTGTGGGCAGGACTAGTTGAGGGGGGGGGGTACTTTTACCTCTTTGTTTGCCCCGGTCCAGCTATTGCTCCAGGTTCTGGCATGTCTGGAGTCTTTCAGGGGTGGAGTGATCCTTTTAGCTCCTTAGTGGCCGAACCAGCCTTGGTTTCTGGTGCTGCTTGCACGGTGTTTGAACCTGTGGCATTTTTTCAGCAGCTCCGCCTTTGTCAGAAGGTCAGGTGGGTGTTGTTTCTTGCTGGTTTGGCCTTCTCTTCCACTCTGCGTCTAGTATGTTGACGTGCATGGATCACCCTTTCTGTGGTGATCAGGTGTTTTGTATAGGTGTCCCACCTGTGATTCTTCTGGTGACAGTATTGACTCTTGGAGGTCTTTTCACCTTTTTCTAATCCTTCGTTGTTGTTCTTTGGTTTCAGTGGGTTGTTTGCCCTTTCCTTTTGGCTGTTTCTTGACTGGTATCTTGCTGTATACTGTTGCATATGATTCCCCTTTGGTCTGGAATTGTATTTTGTGGATTTTGTTCCTTGGCCCTGATTGGGCATTTGTTCGGTAGCAGCAGGCTCCTTTTCTGGTGAAAAATGTGGCGGCTGTCTTCCAGAGGGGTTCTTTGGTTGTGGATGCTGGCTAGGTTTGGCCAGGGGTTCCTAGTGCACTGTCTGGTGGTGGTTTTCCACTGTTACTTTTGCACCACCTGTTCTGCTTTGGTGGGTGCTATGTGGGTTGTTCCAGTTTCTGGGTCACTGTTACAGGGCTTGTTTGTCTGGTTGTCCACAGTGTTGTTCGCTCTTGCCAGTCTGCGGTCTTCCCTCATGCTCATGTTTCAGTGTGTTTGCTGCTCTGATGGCTGTTTTCGCTCATGTCTTAAGCAGATCTTGGGGGGGGGGGGGTTTAGTCAAGTTCGTTTATTATACACCCAATACCCATACTGTGGGCAGTAGTGGAAAGGGTTGCATAGGAACATAATGGGCTCAGGGACTGAATCCCAAAATTCATTTAGTTAAGCAAGTAGTGCATCTGCCTCCCTGTTCAGTCTCCCGTTTCCTCGCTGTGGCTAATTGGCTTCAGGGAGCCAACAGGGCTCCCCCCAGAAAACCAGCATTGAATGTAATGAAATGCCAATTTCTGGGTGAGCCCCGGAAGCTCCCTGATACTCTCCTTCTATGGTCGGTGGTTTTCATCATTCCAGAACTGGTTAAATTCTTGCAAATTATAAAAAAAATTCTGAAATTTAACAAATTTCTGAAATTAAAAAATAACTGAAATTGCTTCCAGAAATGTAAATGCTTGACTGACCTGGGCCAGGCTCCACTCTCCCTCTTCCCCAATGAGGGGGGGAAGGTGGAGCTAACTAGGGGGGTGGGGGGTTGAAGTTTTGGTTGTTTTCCTAATGGGGGAGTTCTTTTGATATTTTGAGGGTGTTCTCATTTTTCAACCATGCAGTAGTCTGTTCTGATTTGCCACCTTTCTGTGCTTCCTTGGTGAATGGCAAGATAAATTTTAAATGTAAAAAGTCCATGAGCTATTGCTCCTTGCGCCTCTTTGAGTGGACCAGGTACATGCTCGTGGTCGCTGCGACTGATGACTCCAAGTAGCGTGGCACTTTGTCAGTAAGCTAGCTTCAGGGAGCCTACGGGGTTCACCCAGAAATTAGCGTTTCATTACATTCAATGCTTCTTTTTTTTATCAAAGGAAATGTGTAATACTCGCCATTTTCTTTTAGTGGCAATGTCATCTTCCAATATTTGGTCCTGTGGATATGGGGAATGATCTTGCCATTTATCGTCGTTTGTCATTCCTATCGGCCTTGGCTGTAGGATGGTAAAATTATTATCAGGAGAAAGCACCAAGCTGTTTTGACAATACAGGATAGTGAATGGCTGTGGGGTGGGTTCAAAGGAAAGTTTTATCAAGTCCTTGTGTTTTTTCTTTTCTCTCCACTGTTTACTTCCTCACTTGCTCTGCTGTTATCCATGCCTCTAATTCTGTTGGTTGTATGTTCTTCCTCTTCCTTTTCGGAAGGAAAATTTTAGGAAAAATTCCTAAAATCTTTCCCTCGGGTATATTGCTCTCATAGTATTTTCTTTTCTATTTACCTTTTGCTTATTATGGACACCTATTCATTAACAAACATTTCCTTCTCATATAGTTTAACAGTTTTGTGGTTGTAGCATTAGCAACAGTTTAATGGTGGGATTTTCATATGACTTCTCTGCCTGCTTGTCTTTCACTCAGGTGCAGGTGAACCTCATTTAACATTGGGGTTAGATCTGAAAACTGTAACTTTAACTGAAATAAGTGCATCAAAATGTTCATAGGCCTTGTGTTATAAGCAAGAGTTATGTTCCTAGGGTACTTGAAAAATGTTCTGGTCATTTTTCTCACCGTAACATTATGGTATTCAAAAAGTAATGAAAGGAAGTAAGGGCATTATTTAATTGTAAACCTTAAATATAAAATGTTACTAGATATTGAAATTGACTTAAGTGACTGTTTCTCTGTTGAGTTTTGAGGTTGTTGGGCGATTATTCATCTGATTCAAGCATGGACACGGGGTCATCTGAATCAAATTTCATCATCCTCATCATGACTATCATATTTTCTTTGTTCAGCTTCCTTGCTCTTTTCATCTTCTTGATCCTCATCATGGCTGTCTTCTTTCTTCTGCTGATCTTCCTCCTCATGAAAAATATTTAATGTCTGCTGAAGTGCTGCTCTTCTCTTCTTTTCTGCTTGTATATTTCCCTGTAACGGTCAACACCAGATCGTAAATCCATGCATACAGTATAGCTGTGTTCTTGGGATCGGTATCAATTGACGCAGCTGTTTGTCAAGTGCCTGGAATAGTTCACATGATCCAAAGTCGCTTAACCACTCGTAGTGGCTCAGGTTGAATGTTCCCCTTCACTCTTTATCTCTCCTGCTTTTATTTCATCCAGCAGAATCAGTTCTTCATCGGTAAAGGTTGTGAGAGCGAGTCAAACACTTCCTGTATGTCATCTTCATCAACTTGTTCAACACCAACTGTGTGTGAACTAATTCAACCATTTCACATGGAATTTGGCAAATCTTGCTGAAAACCATGGAAAGTACTGTATTTTGTGCTGTTATTTTCAGTAAATAATGTGTTTTGTTTTAGTGAAGTATAAATAATGGTGAGAGTATTTGTTAGCCCTTGTATACTGTCCTGTACTTTTCTTTATCATAAGCTTCCACATTGTTTTCTTTATTTGTTGGGATCTTGTAGGAACCGTTTGCCTGTCTGATGTTAATTAATTTTTTCTACTGATGTAAAAAAAATTTTTAACGTCATGCCCTTATCCATGGATTACTGTAGTAATCCAGTAATCCACCAATTGTTTTTACCTCTGTTTCTGAGGGTTGGGAAATATCTTCATTTGTCTTTCCATCATTTCTTGAGTTTTATCTCTCCCCCCCCCCCCCTGGTAAATTATGCCTAGGAAGTTAAGTTTTTCCTAATCCTCTCTCGTGTATATTTTCTCTTGTTCATCTTTGTTCAATAGCCATCATCAGTAGGTAATAATACAGGGTAAATATTTTTGCTGTTCCCTTCCTCTCGTCGTGTTGTCATTTACAGGTGTTGGGAAGTTTGTCTGTTACTTCCACCTACTTATATCTGCATGTCTCTTCCTCTCCTTGTGTTGTCATTTACAGGTGTTGGGAAGTTTGTCTGTTACTTCCACCAACTTATATCTGCATGTCTCTTCCTCTCCTTGTGTTGTCACTTACAGGTGTTGGGAAGTTTGTCTGTTACTTCCACCTACTTATATCTGCATGTCTCTTCCTCTCCTCGTGTTGTCATTTACAGGTGTTGGGAAGTTTGTCTGTTACTTCCACCAACTTATATCTGCATGTCTCTTCCTCTCCTCGTGTTGTCATTTACAGGTGTTGGGAAGTTTGTCTGTTACTTCCACCAACTTATATCTGCATGTCTCTTCCTCTCCTCGTGTTGTCATTTACAGGTGTTGGGAAGTTTGTCTGTTACTTCCACCAACTTATATCTGCATGTCTCTTCCTCTCCTCGTGTTGTCATTTACAGGTGTTGGGAAGTTTGTCTGTTACTTCCACCAACTTATATCTGCATGTCTCTTCCTCTCCTCGTGTTGTCATTTACAGGTGTTGGGAAGTTTGTCTGTTACTTCCACCAACTTATATCTGCATGTCTCTTCCACTCTTAGTGCATATCTTGTATCCTATTCTGTTCATTCATAGTTTTGAACTTTGCAGTGATTTAAAGTTTTGTCTGGGCCATCCTAGCTACCCCGTGTATTAGGTCTGCAGGACTGTTTGTGTGATCATAACCCTGTCTGGGTCTTGGTTATTCAGGGGGAGTTGTAGATGACCACTATCACTATTTTTGTCTCATTTTCCTCTTATCCCCATTGTCAGTCTTTGTCCATTTGTTTGATGGGTTTTCTCTACTCTTCATCAGTGTTTATGGGGTAGTATGTGATTAGGTGAAATGGTTAGTGTCTTTTAAGTTTATTTTCCCCCTTGTTCCTCTATTTATTCTTGGGCAATACTTTCCCTATTTAGGGAAGTGGGAAAATGGAGGGCATTGATTTTATTTTTAACATGCAATGTGATCCCCAGGATATAGGGAAAATATTTTTTGTTTGGTACATGTTTTTATTTTATAAGATATATTTATTATTAACAATTATTTTTTCTTCTGGAATTGTAGGTTACATACCTACTCGCCTACCTACTTCTTGCCTCACCATGGCACCAAGATTTGATTCCCGGTGTTCCATTGTTGCTACGAGGAAACCTTTACTGGAGATAAACACCAAAGGTAAGTACATACTATACAATATTAATGTCATGGTTTGTCTGGTGTGCACATTTTCCTTTAAACTGAAGAATACACATTGTTGTCCAACCTGCCCCTAACAAGAACCTTTGCAAGGAGTCCCAGAACACTCTTAGTACAGGTATCAGTTGGGAAGGATGGGAAGATAGTCCCTTGCCAGCCAGGAACCCTTCATCGTGAGCCCTCTCCTATAGGCTCTGCTCACTAGCTGGATGTTTAGGCATCAATATGTCTAAGTGTGAATCCTTAGACATATTGATATAATATTGTATAGTACATACTATACAATATTAATGTCATGGTTTGTCTGGTGTGCACATTTTCCTTTAAACTGAAGAATACACATCGTTGTCCAACCTGCCCCTAACAAGAACCTTTGCAAGGAGTCCCAGAACACTCTTAGTACAGGTATCAGTTGGGAAGGATGGGAAGATAGTCCCTTGCCAGCCAGGAACCCTTCATCGTGAGCCCTCTCCTATAGGCTCTGCTCACTAGCTGGATGTTTAGGCATCAAAATGTCTAAGTGTGAATCCTTGGCTTGGCAACTATAGTTTAGGTAGCCTGGGATAGGAGCATAGTCCTGAATCTATCCCCCCTCCCACTCCAGTTGTCTGAGCCACTTCTTTGGGTTCATATTTTGGAGATGTTATTCTAGTAATGATTGCCATGACGGGTGTGTGTTATCTGGTTGTGAAGAAGGGTTTGAACAAGAAAGATGATCCTCATTTAGCCAAGGGTGAATGTGAATATACCTTGTCTAACTTTCAGGATGACCACCATGGATATTGTTCATGTTTTTTTTTTTTCTCTGAGGCTTCAGTCTAATGGAGAGCACTGGACCTCTTGAAAGCTGTACATCAATACATTCAACATGGGCTGTAGCGTTGTCTCCAGTCATCATTACATCAAACAGGTGGTTTTCGACTTTCCTCATACGAATGTTCTGAAAATTGCAGGATTGTGTAGTTTGTATTGTGTTAAGGTGCATTCATCACATGATAGACTGCTCTGCATCTGCATTCCAATTACAATAGTAGCACGGAGTTTTGCCTAGCGAGGGTTCAGTCGTGTGTCTTGTACCGTTGGACACTGGTTATAGCTTCTCGAGTTTCTCTGGAGTTACTTAAAAAATTCAGTTCAGATTAATGGGATGTCCTTTATATTGGTGATTGTCATGTTGTTGCATGGGGTTGCTACATGAGGAATGTCTTGTGGCATGTTTGACACTCCCAAAGTTGGTCTTTTTAGTCTGCCAGGAATGTCAGTGGCACAAAGAGAAAAGGGGGCAATCCTTATATTGTATAAGTCACATTACTATTTATTGCACTGTGTATCAGCTAGTGTGGTTTGTAATGTCCTCTACTTACATTGACCTGTAGAATATTTTTTCTGATCACCTCAACTGGCTATTAAATATTTCGGAGGTTGCATGGTAATGACGTGAAAGTGGTTAGCGGAGGTACAAGTTATGGTATTATGGTCATTGTGGTCAACATAGAGAGCAGTCCATAACTGGTACTGTATTTGCATGCTGACAGTCATTTGACTCCACTCCAGCACATTGCAAGTCTCATTATATTTCAAAATCAGTTCAATATGGGTTTTCAGCTTTAAATTAATGTGAGGGTATTTATATATTGGGGGAACTGTGTAGGACTTACAAGCATTTATATACATATCTCCGTCAACACGGTTCACGGCTCACGGCCGGCCGGCCGAGCGGACAGCACACTGGACTTGTGATCCTGCGGTCCTGGGTTCGATCCCAGCCGCCGGCGAGAATCAATGGGCAGAGTTTCTTTCACCCTATGCCCCTGTTACCTAGCAGTAAAATAAGTACCTGGGTGTTAGTCAGCTGTCACGGGCTGCTTCCTGGGGGTGGAGGCCTGGTCGAGGACCGGGCCGCGGGGACACTAAAGCCCCGAAATCATCTCAAGATAACATTGTAGAGGGCCGAAAGTAATTGGACACGTTTCTGTTCAGCCATTTCTTGGCCAGTTATGCCATTCCAGTGTTAGTTCATACATTTCAAGACTGGTGCTTGTTTCTCAACAAGAGGACCACAGAGGTGCCAAAGTCAGCAAAGCAAACCATCATGCTCCTGAAGAGTCAGAATAAATCATTCAGACATTACCAAAACATTTGGTGTGCCAAAATCACCTGTTTAATACTTAAGCAGCAAGAATTCACTGGTGAGCTCAGCAGTAGCAAGTGACTGCCGCACCGTCTCACTTGAGGTTACCTTGAGGTGCTTCCGGGGCTTAGCGTCCCCGCGGCCCGGTCGTCGACCAGGCCTCCTGGTTGCCGGACTGATCAACCAGGCTGTTGGACGCGGCTGCTCGCAGCCTGACGTACGAGTCACAGCCTGGTTGATCAGGTATCCTTTGGAGGTGCTTATCCAAATCTGCACCGTCTCAGTTGGTGCAGAAGACCAGTGTAGTGAATGATTGAAGAATATTTTCACTTGTGAAGAAATAAAACCCTTTTCAGTTGTTGAACAGATTAGAAATGCTTGTGGATATGTCGAAGACTACCATAAAGAGAAGACAAAGCCATCATAACCTCAAAGGGTTCATAAAAAATTGGAAATCTCAAGAACAGATCGGCCAGGTAACATTTGTGCAGGTCGTATTGCGTCTCAACTGGAATTGAGTGAGTGATGCATATTTTTCTTCTAAAGATGCTGTGTAATTTTTTTTTCCTTGCTGCTCTTTGGCCTGTTCAACCCTGGTTTCCATCCCAGCTCACTTGGTGCTCCCTGCCAGATTCTCCTTCCCTGTATGGAGAATGTGTTGCGGTTCTTCTCATTCAACCTCTTTAAGTCTCCTTGTTAACAGCTACAACCACATATCGAGAAACACACAGGAAAATGCATACATTGCTGTGCTTTCCTTTAGAAATTTGGGCAGAGCTGAGCGGTGATGATTAGAGGTGTGGAAATGAACACCAAGAAGAGAGGTAAATAGGAAAAAAGAAAATCAGTAGGAGTCATGAGGAGGATTCGAACCTGTGCTCTGGGTACTATCAAGCAAACACTTTAGACCACTATAGCACAACATGGTCAAAAGCTTTGCAACCTGGGATTCAAGTGAATCCTCTAGGGTTCACTGAAGCCTAACCAGGGTTTCACACAATAAGGCAAACAGGGTATTGGTACTGGGATTTATATGTAAAAGCATTAGCAAAAAGACAACTATTATTATTCTTTCGATTCATTTTGTCATTGACGGGTCCCCCATTTATATTATGCAGTTTAGTTTTCATGCCCATGCTGTAGAATGGAAAATAAATTCACATGGAAGCATACAGTGGAGGATGACAAAGTTTTGTCTACAAATTAGAAACCGCCCATAAGAAAGATTAAACACAGAATTGAATGTAAGCAAATTCCTCTTTCTGCATGAACCCTGTTGGCTCTTGTAGTTAGGGAATGGAGCCACATAGGAGGGGAGGCGCTGGTTCCATACTGACAAGAGGAGGTCCACCTTGGAGTGATAGTATCTCTCGGATCAATGGAAGGATGCGTAGTCAATGCTCCACTCTGTAGAAATTGGATGGAAGTGAGGTAACCTGTCTGCAAGAATGTTAGTCACCCCTCTCCTCCTCCTCCCCCCCCCCCCCACACACACACACACACACACATACATACACAGGAACTGTGTAGAGGACCAAAACCCGAGAAACTACAAGCCAAACTACTCAAAGCATCCATCTCCACAGGGTAGTGAACCAAAGTGATCCCCTTTAGTTCAACCACTGGGAAGCAGTCAGTGTAGCCAAGTATAGAGATCTGTGGGAGTAAAATCATCCTTTAAGGCATGCGACACAGCCGCAAACTTGCATACTGTGCATCCGTAGGAATGGGCCCAACCACAGACCCTGGGTGGCCTGGTGAGTGCTAGTTATGAAGCCCCAGCCCAGATGGAGAGAGTCTGGACATTGAAAGATGGAGGAGAATGGCACCATGGAACAGAATCCAAAATGCCTGAAGAGCAATCCAGTGAAAGAGCAGCTAATGAAGGGCAGGTAGCGTCTCAAACCACTGGTCTTGGACGAAATGAATGAAACTGGATGGAGCTGGAAATACCAGAACAGCTCCTGGAGCCAAACTCTGCCGAGGGGAAAGACAATGCAGGCAAAGTTGAGGCTCCTCCAGCGAATCACCCAGGTCCAATTCAACAGCAGTGAGCGACGAAACTGCAGACGGCAGGAAAAGAGAAGTGAAGCGTGTCCCAAATGAGACCCAGTCAAATCGGATCCTGTGACTTCTGCCAGTACACCAGAACCTGAACCTGGAGAGTTGGGAAAAAAACTAGATTGCTGGTGTACTGACAGACTGACTTGGGGGGGGGGCGCAGACCAGCCAGCCATCAAGGTAAGCCAACACACAAACCGGCGTCAATCTTGTAAACCCTTGGGGAGGGACAGGGTGGGGGGGGAGTTAGAAATAAACCAAAGGGAAGGACGTTGAAGTGGCAAGCCTGATGCCCCACCACAAAACCATCCAAGCACCAGCCCATAAAATCAGGCACACTTGAGCCATGTTATTCATGAAGGTTGTACTGGGAAATGAAATTATTCCAACTTGAAACATTGAGGATGTAAGTATGCCAAGTCCTCTTTGGAACCAGGAACAACTGGGTCATGCAGCAAAGTGACAGTCTACTTCACCATGCCTGAGGCCAACCCATCCATAATGACCAGATACAGAGCTTGGGAGGATACCTGACCCGTAAGTCCCATCCCGAGAAAGAGGGGAGGCTGATGAATTCCAAAACAGGCTGTTGGAAGCGACCAGAAAGGGACATGAATCATGGGACCAGGAGTTGGCAAATGAGCCATATGCCCCCTCCCCCCCTCTCTGGTGGCGACGAAGGGGTGAACTGTGAAAGGGCAAGTGTGAACCATAAATGGAACTACCCTTCCGTGGCACTTCCAACAGAAAAGGAAATGGTCTGTTCTGACTCCAAAGGACCTACCTC